CGACAAACCCCGCCCGAAGAAGTTCGGATCTCGGCGGACTTCGTGGTCTCCGTGTCGCCGGACCCTGCACTTGCAGCCTCCCGCTGCAATCCTTGCGGTCGTCGCTCCCGCGCAGGCGACACCGTTCCGACGTCTCCGTCCCGCGCCGCAATGCTGCGAATTTCTCGATCCGTGCTTGGATCCCCCGACCCCGAGCAGCTTCGCATTCCAGACCGCTCTGGCGGCTCCTCACCCGACGTAGTTCGGATCCCGGCGGACTTCGACTTTCCGGCCGAGCGAATGCCCAGAGCAACCAAGGCTGCCAACGTGTCCCTCGCTGAGCCCATGGACGAAGTCTGGGGGTCGGTGGAGTGTGTCGTGTGCTCGGGCCGGGTGCCTGTCGACGGTGAAACCCCCCACCCCGGCGCTGCCTCCCGGTGTCGTGTTGCGGCCGTGAGACCCTCTCTCCCCCATAGGCGGGATTCCTTTGCCACCCCCTGAGTGGCCACCCCCATCCCCTCCGCTTCCAGGTGACCCCCCCCCGGAACCACCGTCCGACCCACTGGGAGGGGGCACTTTCCAGTCCAGCACGCCCTTCGACGGACTCGTGTCGAGCTCGTAGTAGTCCTCCGTCAATTCCAACCAGCACTTGTCCTGAAGCTCGTCAAACAGTCAACCGGCAGTGGAAATGACTCAAATGAGGGACAGGTCGCCAGATGCTAAAGTGTCATTTTCGACCTTCACTTTCTTGAGGACCGAAATCCTCGCGAGGTGCAGGAAGTTGGACTTCGACTCGCGTGGGAATGACACCCATCCCGCGCCCGGGATTGCCACGGCCATGACCCACTCGCCATTTCGTATCGCTAGCTGGATGACTCCCGGATGCCAAACCATGTCATGGCCCCAGCCCTGCTCAGGTGAATGACGTTGCGGTTCAAGCAGGAAGTGGATGTTGTCATCCTTCCAAGACGGATGATCGGGCGGGACAACGGACCCGGGACGCAAAGCGGGCGGGGGGGTGGCCAAAGCTCTAAGTCTCTCCAGCAACTTCTTCGGCGTGGTGCCCGGCGCCCGTTTGGCCAATGGTGACACGAGGGCTGCAACGCTTGGTGACGGACCGGCCGACGAGGACCCTCGACCGTGGTCCGCCGGAGGCGGGTCGTACTGCAGGTCGATGCTCTCCGTGTCGCTCTCCTCCTCCTTCGCGTTGGCGACAAACTCCGCACCTATGGCTTCCTCGTCGTCAGTGAAGATCAGGGAAGCGTAACTGTCTAACTTCAACTGCTCCTCGGACTCCACGAAGTACAGCGACTGCAACCTTTCGATAAACGTCTTCGCGTTCATGCGGGAGGCGAAGTGGTAGTTGTCGAGCAGTGCCAACATGTGGTCCTTCCGACGAATGTACTCGGCGTCAGTGTCCCTCCTCGGACGCGTTTAAAGGAACAAGAAATCGTATATCTTGTTCCTCTTCCTCTCGCTCAACTTGAACCACATATCCGTCTTCTTGCTCCACACCTTATCCCGTGTTGGCCTCACGACCATGAACTCACAATTGTGCCCACTCGAATTGACCTCGCTTTTCACCACCTGCATCGTGAATTGCAAGAGGTCGGAGTTCCCTTCCATTGCGACAACGTGTCGGCCGGCCTTCAGAAGCTCCCAGACGCTTCGTTCGTGCGGTTTCCCAAGGAACACAACACCCTCTCCCTTCTTGCCAAGAAAATCAAGAAGACTGACGAATTGGGTCGGATTGCGTTCCATATCCCCGTAGACGCTGCCCTGTCGTTCAAGCGCCACCAGCGACCAGTCGCAAGGCGTGAAAGGAATCTCGGACACATCCGTCTGGGTGACACTCTGAGGCAATCGCACCGCAGCAGCGGCACCCGTGGGCAGGTTTCCCTCGTAGACCACGGACGTGTTGACCCGCAAATCGTCACCCTTGAAGAGGATGTACATGCGGTCTTCCTCCGTGTACAAATTGTTCCCAATGGGGATGCTTTTTTTTTGCTGCACTTTCCACACCCACTTCCCTTCCAACAGCTTGACGAAAGAAAGATGGTGCATGCTGGCGAGAAACGACAGGTTGTGCTGCCGCGACACGAAAACAACGAGTCTCCCACGCTTGGGGCTTCCACAGTTTGAGGTCAACCGACTCGCACAGATCGAGGACGAACGTGTGGCTTTTTGTGGCAGCCACTGCCTCCTTCAGCTCTGCGCCCCTGATGTCCGCCTCTAAAGGGTCGTTGGCGAAGGACGCGATGGATGTCACGTCCCCCGTGTCTTTCCATTTAATGTGAACGACGCCTTCGGCAAGTGCGACTTCCCGGCTCTTCAGTCTGCTTCCATTCAACACGGAGAGAACCTTGTTTCTTCAGTCGACGGACAACTTCTTGTGGCCCGCCAACTTCTCCGTCACCTCAATCGAGTTGTCCTGGTCGCAACCCATGTACGGCGGGCAGTCCTTGAACAGCGCCGAGTCGGAAACGTGTTTCCTGCTGTTA